GGATGACCTTCATGTCACAGTACTAGGTAGGGGTTCAGCTGTGCATTTGGATCATCATGAGCGGTTCTAATTCCGCATGAAAATTAATTGAAACGTTCGAGATTAGCTGCAAGGCTACTTATCTTATTTTTTAGAAATAAAGACCTTTTTATATATTTGTTTGACAATAACTATACACCAGTACATTTTGCTACTTGAAGAACGTAATCATTAACATTGTTTATTTTATAGAGGTGAACATGTGGTTATATGAACAGTAGAAAGAGATATTAACCGATTGACGTATATATTGATAGCATATTCTCAATATCATTTATTTTCATCATTTTCCTGTAAAATATACGTAATAATGTATCATAAACGAAACGGTATACGTGTCCAAGTGCATAATGACTTCCAATTAAATAATGACATAATCCTAACATTTGACATCAGTTTAATACGCGACGTCATCACCATTACTCTTGTAAAGTAACCGCGGACTGTGTCCTCTGCACGCGCCCTTTATTTGTACACACATCTCGTTCATCTCCGCGAAAAGGTTCAATAACACTCGGCATCATAAAATTAGTAATTTTATAGTACCGAGTGTTATTTTGTAAATGATATGTGTCAAGTCCTAGCCTGAGTATACCTATAATAATAATAATAAACTTTATTTATTGAGGATAAAAAAACCTGTTTAGCAAAGCTAATCTTCCACAGGGTCCTCTGTTAGAAAAAGGGTTAGTTAAAATCATGATATAATAGAAAACAAATGAGCATTCAAATTATTATCACAGTAAGCATAGGCATAAAAGTAGTTGAGCTTATCAAATTACTATAATTAGACTGAATATATATACAATTAAAGGGTCATTTACACTTTTCATTAAAATTATCACAGGAGTAAAGATACACTATTCTAAGCTGAACCAATATGGTATTCAGTAAAAGACCAAATGTCTAAATTACATACAAAATATGCTAATGTAGCAAAAACTAAAAATTGACAGCATACACGCTAATATAGCCTAACTAAAACCATCAAAAAGCTATACTAAGATATTTCTTTGATAAAAATAAAACAGACAATAAAAAAGACAGCAATAAGTGATGATTTATATACCTGATAAAGGTAATGGCCTAGACACATCGGCAAATGTCTCGTGTCGAGTCGTGTGATCAATATCAAAATGACTTGTAACACAAACATTAAAAATAGCCTTATATGGACGCGCTGATCACTGGAGGGGAGTCTTAAAGTCCCTAGAAGGAAATATGAGATTTGTTGTTTTGTTCCCGATTTCATTATCTTTCTCGGTGTAGACAATATGGTACGTGTTTATTTTCTGCCCACATTTCCGTGGTAACAGGTGATTTGAATATAAAACCTGTGCCCAGTTCAATCTGGGTACACATTGCTAACAAGTAACAAACCTTAAATGAGTTATATTTGAATTTAATGTCAACCGCGACTTGTGCTCTTTGGAAACCTCCTACATACTTCAATGCGCTCTTCGGAAACCTTCTACATACTTCCCTTTGACAATTTTACTGGTTGACTGTGTAAAGGCACTTTTGGGAAATCTCAAATTATAACGATCTTATCGGAAAGCTGATGACGTCAAGGAAAGGTAAAAAATGTTTTCCTCTTCCACTTACGTGAACAGTGCCATTGACTGTTATGGCTGTGTTTACATTGGCGTTTGTATATAAATCCTTACCTAGTGCTGCTGTTCATTAGCGTTTGTATATAAATCCTTACCTAGTGCTGCTGTTCATTAGCGTTTACTGTTTGAACTGTATCACTTATCCTCCACAGCTGCTGTTTATAAAGTATCACTTATTGTTCATATACTACTGTTGTATATATAAATTATAACTTAATGCTCATAGTCAAATCTTCATACGAAAGACATGGTTACAATGGTTTCTGTGAATGTTATATATCACCCAAAGCATACGTTCTACAAAGTTTGTGAAGGAAGACAGATTCCGTAAATAAACTGGACCACTCGGGGTTACTTAGCAAAACACTATGCAATATTTAAGTGTGAATACACTCAAATGACCGAACCGAACGGCACTGAACCGACTAACATCATGATAATATATGGACAGCAGCTGCTGGCTTAGCGATCGTTTACCGAACACTTACACCCGGATGCATCTATTTACGAGTACGCATGTGCCCGTTCGTATGTCGCTAATTTCTGACACCGAACGAAGAGCAACCAGAAGTTGAACCCGCGGGTCAATGGCAGGAGAACGTCTGGTGACAGTAAGTAACTCATCTTTGATTGACTCAAATACTTCGATGGTAGTATAGCCACAGGTACTAGCCTCGTCTGTCAATACACCCATAATACAATCAAGGTTGCTAACTCTGTCCTCCTAGTAAAATGACCCCGTTCCAGGAGAAATGCGATTCTTCATTGCAGTAAAGCTGTATGAAATTTTATATCTTCACAGGTATCACTGTTAGCATTGTCCGTTCAGAATACTACTTTCTATTCTATGGGTAAAATTTTCAGGTTAATATAATGTTTGTTAAGAAATATTACTAGATAACAGCAGAAAACGATAGAACTTCGTTGGGTAACCCATTTAGAATGGAACACAGCCTTTTTTGTCAATCGTCACGTCATAATAACATGGTCAAATTCAAGCACTTTTTTTATGCCGCAACATCTTCGCCGTTTTACCGTAAAACAATAAAACCCATGTTTTCCCCCCGTTGAATACTTTATCATTAGTATGGCAGAACATACCGACATTTTCACTCGTGCTTCGCATTCTGGAAAAAAAAGGTATCCTACCATACACCTAAAATATATATAACGGAAGTCAAAGGGAGCTGATCCTGTAGGGATCGTTGTGTACTACTAGGACTACGGTACACGGATTCGGGGGTTAGTTGCCGGTGTCTAGGTGGTCCTGTATCCCGGAGACTGGTTTACGGGTCCTTGGAGAGGTGGTCCTATATCTTGGTCACTGGTTTTCGGGTCATGGGAGAGGTTGTACCGGGTCCTGGGAGAGGTGGTCCTGTATCCCGGAGACTGGTTTACGGGTCCTTGGAGAGGTGGTCCGGTATCCGGGAGACTGGTTTACGGGTCCTTGGAGAGGTGGTCCTGTATTCCGGATACTGGTTAACGGGGCCTTGGAGAGGTGGTCCTGTATCCTGGAGACTGGGTTACGGGTCCTTGGAGAGGTGGTCCTGTATACTGGAGACTGGTTTACGGGTCCTTGGAGAGGAGGTCCTATATCTTGGTCACTGGTTTTCGGGTCCTGGGAGAGGTTGTACCGGGTCCAGACTACGGTACACGGATTCGGGGGTTAGTTGCCGGTGTCTAGGTGGTCGTGTATCCCGGAGACTGGTTTATGGGTCCTTGGAGAGGTGGTCCTGTATCCCGGAGACTGGTTTACGGGTCCAGGCAGAAGTGGTCCGGTGTACCGGAGACTGGTTTACGGGTCCTTGGAGAGGTGGTCCTGTATTCCGGATACTGGTTAACGGGTCCTTGGAGAGGTGGTCCTGTATCCCGGACACTGGTTTACGGGTCCCTGGAGAGGTGTTCCTGTATCCCGGAGACTGGTTTACGGGTCCTGGGAGTGGTGGTCCTGTATTCCGGATACTGGTTTCAGGTCCTTGGAGAGGTTGTACCGGGTCCAGACTACGGTACACGGATTCGGGGGTTAGTTGCCGGTGTCTAGGTGTTCCTGTATCCCGGAGACTGGTTTACGGGGCCTGGGAGTGGTGGGCCTGTATCCCGAGCCTGGTTTACGGGTCCTGGGAGAGGTGGTCCTGTATTCCGGATACTGGTTAACGGGTCCTTGGAGAGGTGGTCCTGTATCCCGGAGATTGGTTTACGGGTCCTGGGAGTGGTGGTCCTGTATCCCGAGACTGGGTTACGGGTCCTGGGAGTGGTGGTCCTGTATCCCGAGCCTGGTTTACGGGTCCTGGGAGAGGTGGTCCTGTATTCCGGATACTGGTTTACGGATCCTTGGAGAGGTGGTCCTGTATTCCGGATACTGGTTTACGGGTCCTTGGAGAGGTGGTCCTGTATTCCGGATGCTGGTTTACGGGTCCTTGGAGAGGTTGTACCGGGTCCAGACTACGGTACACGCATTCGGGGGTTAGTTGCCGGTGTCTAGGTGTTCCTGTATCCCGGAGACTGGTTTACGGGTCCAGGCAGAAGTGGTCCGGTGTACCGAAGACTGGTTTACGGGTCCTTGGAGAGGTGGTCCTGTATTCCGGATGCTGGTTTACGGGTCCTTGGAGAGGTTGTACCGGGTCCAGACTACGGTACACGCATTCGGGGGTTAGTTGCCGGTGTCTAGGTGTTCCTGTATCCCGGAGACTGGTTTACGGGTCCAGGCAGAAGTGGTCCGGTGTACCGGAGGCTGGTTTACGGGTCCTTGGAGAGGTGGTCCTGTATCCTGGAGACTTGGTTACGGGTCCTTGGAGAGGTGGTCCTGTATCTCGGAGACTGGTTTTCGGGTCCTGGGAGAGGTGGTCCTGTTTCCCGAGACTGGTTTACGGGTCCTTGGAGTGGGGGTCCTGTACCCCGAGACTGGTTTACGGGTCCTGGGAGAGGTGGTCCTGTATTCCGGATACTGGTTTACGGGTCCTTGGAGAGGTGGTCCTGTATGCCGGAGACTGGTTTACGGGTCCTTGGAGAGGTGGGCCTGTATCCTGGAGACTGGTTTTCGGGTCCTTGGAGAGGGGGTCCTGTATCCCGGAGACTGGTTTACGGGTCCTGGGAGGGGTGGTCCTGTATTCCGGATACTGGTTTACGGGTCCTTGGAGAGGTGGTCCTGTATTCCGGAGACTGGTTTACGGGTCCTGGGAGTGGTGGTCCTGTATCCCGAGCCTGGTTTACGGGTCCTGGGAGAGGTGGTCCTGTATTCCGGATACTGGTTTCAGGTCCTTGGAGAGGTTGTACCGGGTCCAGACTACGGTACACGGATTCGGGGGTTAGTTGCCGGTGTCTAGGTGTTCCTGTATCCCGGAGACTGGTTTACGGGTCCTGGGAGGGGTGGTCCTGTATTCCGGATACTGGTTTACGGATCCTTGGAGAGGTGGTCCTGTATCCCGGAGGCTGGTTTTCGGGTCCTGGGAGAGGTGGTCCTGTTTCCCGAGACTGGTTTACGGGTCCTTGGAGTGGTGGTCCTGTCCCCCGAGACTGGTTTACGGGTCCTGGGAGTGGTGATCCTGTATCCCGAGACTGGTTTACGGGTCCTGGGAGTGGTGATCCTGTATCCCGAGACTGGTTTACGGGTCCTTGGAGAGGTGGTCCTGTATCCTGGAGACTGGTTTTCGGGTCCTTGGAGAGGTGGTCCTGTATCCCGGAGACTGGTTTACGGGTCCTGGGAGTGGTGGTCCTGTATCCCGAGACTGGTTTACGGATCCTGGGAGAGGTGGGTCCGTCCTCAGACAGCTGCTACTGACCAGATCATCCAGAGCTGTCACATGCTATTAGCTGCTAATGGTTTGCACGTCGTACGGAACATGTCTGACCGGGGAGACAGTCTGGTCATCTCAACTTCACACTGGAACAGTTACACAGCATTACCAGTCATTGTATTGCATTATCTTTATTCCCGACAAAATTAAGTCAGTATCCGAAATGTTGTGTATTTTACAATTGATACGGAAGAGTTGATACAATCATGTTTCGGTCTATCAGGCTTTATATCTTGAATGTTTGTCGTCCGTCAACAAGACTTGTCTGGAAGCAACATGATGTCTAGTAAGCCAATGTGCTTTGCATATTCATGAGCAACACCAGCCATTCATTCACACTGGTACACGGTTCACAGACAAAACCCAAAGGTTACTCCCGCCTAATGGCCCTTACAATGTCGAAACTTATTTCTGTTTCCGGTTTATGTAGTCATCAAAGGTTGACCGGTACATATTTGAGAACTTTTACAAATTGTCATATCTTTCTAAATTTGTTTTGAGGAAATATGCTACCATATGGAGCTATATCAATGCATTTAATGACACAAAACATATATATTGATGACCCAAGAGAACATATAAGGACGCATAATGATGACAAAAAGGGACACGAGAACGCATATATCGATGACAAAAAGGGACACGAGAACGCAAATATTGATAACAAAAAGGTATCATAATGTCGAAGTTAGCCTAGTAGTCTTAGTGTGGGTGTGAGATCTTGTTAAATACTTCAGACAAGTCAAGGAAAATTGCAAAACCTGTTTGCCGTTGACGAGACTCATAGCGATGTCGTTATAGATCATAAATAGTTGAATGATCGGAAAGGATGTCACAACGTTCGACATAGTTCATTAGATTACTGTCAATGATTCGTTGTACCATTTTATTGTATATTGACGTCAAAGACACTGGTCGGTAGTTTCATGTCTTGACCTTATTTCCTTCTTGGATAAATCACCGGGGACTGTCCCAGTGTCGACAGATGTTCATACGACCCTGGTTAGCATACTAGAGATGACAAGACATTGTTTTATTAGCCAGGCTGGAGCCGACGTTTTCCTTAGGTTTAGGACGTGCTTGGCTGATTGTGATGATTCGGGGATCTTTGGCGGTACCTGGTCTGAGATCGAGTCATTGGTGGTATATACAGAGCAAAACTGGTCGTCGATGATTGGAGTGTGAAGTCGGAGTTCACTTATCTGGAGAAGTCTTTTCTCAGTGATAATATACTGGAGGTGTCTGTCCTCTTACGTGTAACATAATTAGTTTCTTACTCTTCTCTGTCTCAGCGCTGAGTTGTCGACTATGCAACAAACCTTATATCTACCTTTTTCGATCAGTCCTTTCTGTTCCCTGACGTTTTAGCGTTGATGAAGGCCTTATGCTTGTAGGGGGCACTCGTTTGATGTTACGGGTAATCCATGATTAGCTGGACCTAGCTTAAGTAACCTTATATTGTACAAGTTGCATGAGTTGGCTACAGCACCGTTTGAAGGTGTCCAAGGTCGTGTTGATGCCGTCATTTGGCGAATATCCCTCAATGAAACCCGTGTCCATTCGATAAGCTGTGTCCATAGGCGGATCTTGTATTGGTTGTGGCGGCAATGGGGTAGGGGGCTGTTGCAACACTATTGGCCACTTAATTTTGTGAGAGGCTTATATATGAAGGCTGGTTGGTAAAGTTGTCTCCTCGAGTTGGGCAGTCAACGACATGTTCAAGACTGTATTCGTAACTATTGTAATAAAATGTTCATTTGACTGCTTCGGATAGCAATGGTCGTGGTTGACATGGTCTCCCAGTTAACGTCTGGTAGGCAGCTGGTGTCAACTGAGATCTTAGCTGTCAATCAGAGTTGGAATGGACAAATTCCACTACAGTCTTACCCATGTTAGATGTATAGGTGGTACCATCATACGTCGATCTATACAGGGTCATGATCGCGAGTTTGTTGCTTTTGCCGTTATACCTATTTCCCCAGACTCCATTCCCTATCTTCTATAGAAATAGCGTTGTGTTCCCATATATGGTGTATGTTCTATTACTTTCACTGAGCAATATTAATTGGTCTAGTACACTGAACACTTTCACTAATGTTCCTAATGTCAAGGAAATTTCTTAATGCAAGTTTTCCTATAAGAAAGCTTTAGCAAAGTTAGTACTTTGCAAAATTCTTTTCCACAACTCCAATTGTGTTTTCCTGTGAAAAACCTTAAAGTTTGTAGTAAATTTAGAAATCTTTATGGAATTGGGACATTGGCACCTAAACACCAATGGGTAAAAGGACAGACTTAACAGAACTCACAGGCAGATCCAGTGGGGTTTGTCTAACCAAATATCCCTCTTTCTCCCTTTCCCCCCCAAAACCCTCCTGTAGGGGCTTCAGCCTTTGTGCTCTCACATTGGCCTTTGGGTCAATGATGTCCCACTTTCAACTCAAGGAGCATACTTAGACGCAACTTCAACAAATGTTCGTCCCCCTCCCCATCCCAACTCCCCTTTAGAATTCCTGGATCTGATTCTGAAGAATTTCTCACAAAATCAAACATGTAGGCTGTCAAATGCATCAACATAAGGAGAGGAACTAACTTTGTAATACTTTTATTCACCAAATTTGTAACAATACATGAACAAGTCTTATTTGATATTTGATCAAAAGTTCATCAGATAACTTTGTAATATTTCATTCGTCGAATTTTAACAATACATGAATAGTTATATGAAAGTTGAACATAGCCTAGAGCCAGGTAGATGTGTATACCCACACCAGTGGTTACATCATAGAAGATCAGGGAACATATCTAGATACATTAGGATATTCAATAAGATTTGCCTTTTCTTTAAAGTTTGCACAAAATATAACGTTTCTTTTTCTTCAAAATGAAATCATCAAAATACTTGCCAGTGGAAATGACAATAATATGTGTGTACAAGCTGTATTAGCAACATCCAATCAGAAAGTAGGGCTCAGTATTTTTTGTTAACATGGAAATGGAGATTGACAAATGTGGCATGAGGACAGAATGAAAATGCATTGGATGATGCAATTGGTCAACATAGTACATCACCATGACAACAGATGGAGGGGCGACACCCCCTGTAGTACTACTTACAATGTTAGGAGGTGATAAGCTAAATATATAATAATATATATAATTTTTTGATAATTCACAAAAAAATGGTATTGTTCTCTAAAATATCAGACAAATCCCATCAATGATTTACCACATTACTACAAATATAACAATTTCACAAAATACTTGTCAACAGTTACCGTTTCCACACAGGATGTTCAAGTCGATAAAGATAGTAAAAGTTCCTTTTTTGAGGCACTTGACACTCCACATAAAATAAATTTTGTGATGTTATTGCAAAAATGGCTACATAGGTCATTACTGAAGCAATTGTAAACTACAGCAATAACAAACAGATTTGAAAATATACCCTGTTTATACGAAATATACAAGTTTGTGTTGTAGGGAGATAATGAAAAATACAAGGTGGACGTTCTAGGGAGGCCCATTGTTGATGAACTGAAGTGTGAGGACTATTTTAACTCTAGTCTATATCAATGATTTCAGACATAAACAAATCATTACATTTGTTGTTTACTTTGTTTATAAGAAGCCTGACAGTTCGCTCCAACACCCTACTGTTTGTTTCTTGTTGATTCAAATTGAAGGTCTGCTTGGTAACCACAACATACACTCTTTGTACATTCCACACAACTTTATCAGTCAAGCAACCTCAAATCTGTTAATGAAATATCCAAAGGACGGTCAATCCAAATTGCGTGTATAAAAGTGATTGTAAGCCTTTGTTTTAGTTTCACAATTATAATTTATACTATTATCCAGATGTTGTAAAGCGCTTTAAGAGTAATTTTACAAATTATATAGGGCGCTATATAAATGTTGTATATTCTTATTATTATTGCAACATTTATATTCATAACTCCAAATAGACCATTAGTCTTTTTATGTTTCTGTTAGTCAGACTCTACGTGAACTATATACTACAGCATGGTTATTCTACTGATAAAAAGCATCTTACTGCCATATTGAATTAATGTTTTAAGACACGATACTACCTTAATGATTTCACCAGTATTTATTTGAAGAGTTATCTCCCTTAGAATACAAGGTTTCTCTTTTTAATAATGGAGAATGACAATGAGTGTAATCTTCATTCTTCCTCACTTTTACAGTATATAATCAATTGATCTAGTTCAAAAACCATTTACAAAAGAAGTTTAAAGGTTTGTGTGATTGAGGAACACTTTTTGATCACTGTTACAATAAAATGACATATGTCCTTAACTTAAAATCCAGAACAACTTTAGGCTCATTACTACACTAAGACCTTGGTTAATTGTTTTAATAGAAGTCTGACTTCCTCAACTGACTGCTATTTGTCTTTAATAACTATATTTTTAATAATTATCTCCTTTAAAAACTCTTCAACATTCATTAGCCTGACTTTTTATGGATATGTGTTGATAAAACTTTCAGTTTTTTCAGTTATCATCAATATGATGCAATATTTTTCCATCAATTTTTTATGCTGTTTGTATCTTTTATATTGAAGGATAGAACCAAAAAAAGGCAGGTGTTTTTGAGTCTGAACAGTTCTTCCATAATGACTGGATGCCAGTAGATAAAGCCTGCAGATCAACTGTCAGAATCATTCTCTTATATAACTACTGTTTGAATCATGCTATATAACTACTAAGTATTGCAAGTAAGGCAGTTACAAGGAAGTACCCAAAATTGTGTTTCTATAATGTTTTTTATTTAGAATAGTACAACTCCAGTAACGTAGCACTTATTTGTGTAAAACTGATGACAAACATTTGATACACTGCACACACCCGAAACACTGCCATGTCAGTCTGACCGAACCTCTGATACCATCTAATCACAATACGTCATCAATGATTCCTACAAATGGGGGCGGTACCTTTGATCACAATGAGATCAGATAACACATCAACTCATATGCAATGTTCTAATGAATATTTCCAAAATTGACACAAAATTGTATTTGTCAATCTTTTTATCAAATATGGATTTTGTTTTGTTCTGGTCAAATTCAATTCTCTTTATTTCTTCCAAGTTCTGGAAATAAAGATTTGGAAAAACAATTAATCTGAACTTGTCTGGTCATCCTGACATGGTAGTGTTAGAGTGTGTCCAGTAAACAAGGTAGCACTTTGAGTGAGATAATTCCTCATTGTATCTTCCATACAATTAGTTTTTATAATCTTAATACATTTGATTATTATACATAAGCACTTTTCTGATCGCTGTAACTGTATCGACGGCAGACTTTGCTTGGCAAAGCTATAACAGAGTCTTGTTTACAGTTGTTATAACTCATAATCACAAGATCCTTCCTTCCCCAATCAAAGGAAAACACACACAAAATCACACATACAAACTTCAATGATCCTCTCGTAACACATTTACTCACCATGCACTTGTACATGGACACCCAAACTAAACAAAACTTCTGTATACTTGAATTCTAGATCTGTAGCAGTATATACACCACCTTACAGGCACAGCATACTACCTCACTTTACTGCTTGTCAAAAAATTCAGGACAACGAAAAATCAATTGTAATTTGCTACACAATGAAATATCCCTGGGGAGTTTTTTCCCCCTACACATAATTATTTAGTGGCTCGCCCTAACTGTACATGTACTGTCATGATAACTTCCCCGTCACACTAACCTAGTCAGCCTGGTGGTATATCCATTTATTATATATGATTATATCTACCTGTCTGTCAGTTCACATGTACCAAACAATTAAACATCAACAAGTCGGGAACAAATACCCTTCTACTGAAACATTTATACTGCATTGTACAGTTTAATTGCTAATTAATTTTATCAATTAAAAAATTTGAGCATCAATAGTGCTGTTTATTTAGTTTTATCTGTCAAATTTCTGACAGTCGATACTACAGTATTTCAATTATATTTCTGACAGTTGATACTAAGGTATTTCAATTATAATTTCTGACAGTTGATACAAATGTATTTCAATAATAATTTCTGACAGTTGATACTAATGTATTTCAATTGTGATTTCTGACAATTGATACTAAGGTATTTAAATGGTAATTTCTGACAGTTGATACTAATGTATTTCAATTATTATTCCTGACAGTTGATACTAATGTATTTCAATTATAATTCCTGACAGTTGATACTAATGTATTTCAATTGTGATTTCTGACAATTGATACTAAGGTATTTCAATTATAATTTCTGACAGTTGATACTAAGGTATTTCAATTTTAATTTCTGACAGTCGACAGTCTTGTAGCATAAATAATTTCTAGTAGGAAAAACATTTGATCATAAGATTCAGTGTTGCCATTTGAATACAATTCATTTTGTTAACAACTCAATAAAATATACAGTGACTGTAGACTGAGATCCTAATGTCTTAGATAAATTCTAGTTGTAGTTTATGACTGTATGAACATCACATTTAAACTAACCAATCCTAATCAGTCTCTCAAACACTCCTGGAATCCTATCACAGGTTAACACAGAATGGCAGATTTTGGAACCATTCTAGCAGTATTTTGGAGGTTCCCTAAAGTCAACTTATCTGTATCATCACATACTAGTGACACAGTTCAGCAATCAAGCCAGAAACAGGCTTCTTACCAGTTGAAAATCATATTCACTCATATTAAAATACTCGTGCTCTGTAATAAAACTGGGATATCTCTTTAACATGCCATAAATGCTGTGCCATGGACAATGAGTAACAGGTAAAACAGTATAACTTTTTTATCAACATATCACAGATGACAACAGGCTTTTAAAAATACAACAGCTGCGTCCAACATTTAAACTCTATGACTGATGACAATGAATGATTCAGGGATTGATGCGTAAGTAACAATGTTAAAACAGACTGACCAGAGTAACAAACTGATGTCAATCCCATATAGATTTATATACATATACTTTTATATATCTTGTCATACATTTAAACTTTATACATGGCTTTACCATTCACAGATCCAGTACTATCACAATCTTCCTACTAAATAACACCACGATACATGACAAAGTTTCCATGCATCCTAACAAATCATCAGTCACATCACCAACATTTCCATGGCAACATGACAGCGTTTCCATATGACAACACATTAAGTGTATATTGCGAAGAAATGCTGTCGTTGCCATGGAGATGTGAGAGGGTAACGTGGCTACATATGAGTAGATGACAGTGTGGCAACATGTGTTGTCAGGGTGACAGTGTGGCAACATATGTTGTCAGGGTGACAAATGGAAACATGTGTTGTCAGGGTGACAAATGGCAACATGTGTTGTCAGGGTGACAAATGGAAACATGTGTTGTCAGGGTGACAAATGGCAACATATGTTGTCGGGGTGACAAATGGAAACAAATGTTGTCGGGGTGACAAATGGAAACATATGTTGTCGGGGTGACAAATGGAAACATATGTTGTCAAGGTGACAAATGGAAACATATGTTGTCGGGGTGACAAATGGAAACATATGTTGTCAGGGTTACAAATGGAAACATATGTTGTCAGGGTGACAAATGGAAACATATGTTGTCAGGGTGACAAATGGAAAAATATGAGAACATTATTTAGGCAACAGTCAAACTGTCACCATGGAAACAGTACATGGGGACTTTTTCGTTTTTGTTATCATGAGAACCCTGAGGGACATGTGTCCTTTCACCTCAAGCTACAAACAGAGCACGGACAAACATCAATTCATCGTAACATTGGTGCATGTAAAAGGCCATCTCATGAAATTATTTCTACACATTTTTCCTGTCAGGAAAAACATTTCAACAACCAACTTTTTATCTTTCTCACATAGAAATTAAACCATTTTGATTTTTCATAAATAGTGTTAAAAATAGATACAAGTACCAATACACAACAAGAAGTTTACCAAACATATAACACAATACCACAGCTGTATTTCTCTTCAGTAGTTGTCCGTACATTTTACAAAATAACTTGAAAAACAACATTGCAAAATGTCAGCCTCTATCCTTGTAGTCAATAACTTTATAAACATGCTAATAACATTCCTGAACTGATCTTCCGTGTCTAAATTTTGTAATCAAGATTTGTTGATTTATTTTACTCCTTTATGTTGAAGTACCCAACATGTTTTACACCGGTTAATAAACAAGTATGTTGTTTTACATCGCTTGGACACCCATCTGACCAATGTTATAAAACTTTGCTGTTGTATTTTTACTGACAACTTAACCAAGACCAAAGATAAAACTTAACCGAGAAATAATACTGAAAAAATAAAGATCTAATAAATTCTCATCCTATCAGCAAACACTTGTTAATCAGGAAACGTTCTGATATTTACATGTCCTTTGGAGTAAAAGAGAGAACTAAAAATAAATTGAGGATGTGAAATGATCACAATACACCATTAATTTCTCAATATGTAAGCCACTTGACCTCTAAATGAATACATCAAAACAGAAACAAAATCACACCGACAAACTACACCAGACGCCGACAAAAAACAAACCTTGATCACATGTAGATTGCACTACGACACATAATTATGATATAGCAGTTATATTGTATTACACATAGTGAAACCTGTCTAAACTGACCAAAGGCAGCGAAAGGGACCAAACATGTCAGATTAGACAGGGTTTTACAGGTTTACATCTAAATCTCTGCAGGTGTACGGGTTCAGCATGTGGTTTAGAAAGGATACCTATTTTGTTTGTAACTGTTTTGACCCAATCTAATCATACACTAGTTAATTGGTGGTATTCTAGATTAGGCCGCCAGGTTGGTTAACTACCCTCCTAATGATCATTTGTTATATTACTATACACTGATTACCTAATATAAGTGTTTATTTAAATAACTTTTTCTTTAACATTTGAAGCCCATGGCAATGTTTTCCAATATCAATTTGTGATTGCAGAGAGAGAAAACCACACATTCTTTTCAGCTATAATTATTTTGAAAATCAAATTGAATGCAAAATTTAATTTTGGCAAACATGTTATTTGATTAGTTTAAACTAATTTACAATACAAAACTGATTTGATTTGATATTTATCTATTTAGCAAACAGGTTTCTCATTAGCACACAGGTTTCTCCTAGGTGTTGATGTAAGTCAGGTATAAAATTACTACAGTAAGCTATGTAGACATGTAACTACTTGGTTTACCTGTAGCTTACCTCACTCGCATACAATAACAGGGCATGTTGATCGGACCAATTATTGATATGTAACGTGTAAAACAGTCAGATCTCTACTCCAATCTCTTCATATGGACCTCCCCATTACATATTCAACCCTTATAACCAGATTTATCAATCACACGATTTGTGAATCCCTTCCTATGCTGAACCAGCTTTTGAAAATAAAATACTATATTTGTTCAGCATTATAACATGATGAACGCTGAGTTTACACCTAAGTTTGGTCTCTAGATAAGCTGGCTGAACCAAAGCTGGGGTAACACATAGATACCTTTACAGGGTGTACTTAGTTAAATAAAAGACTCCTAAACTACCTGTTATCAGCTTCCTTAGGTAAAACACACAGGTAACTCATGATATCATCCTTCTAATTGATGAACTTGTGTAAGGGAGGTAACTGGAACTTGATTAACATGCTGAACAGATACACATGTCACCGGGGCTACACTCTACACCATCATGTAGTGTTGATATTTCAAATTTCAAGTGAAATTTTTCTGATGGATTGTTTTTCATTTGTGTGTAGCTGTTATTGTGAATGAAAGGAAATTCGAATAAATTGCTTGCCAGGGTTTTTCTAGATTATGATTTATGGGCAGTTTGTATCATCATGACAATGAACACACCAGTAACATGTAGGACAACACAGTAGCAACTAAAATGTGTAACCTAGAACTGCTTTGAATAATAATAATGGGGTCACTATAGTTGTAAAATGCTACATCAGCATGAGCCAACTGAAGCTAGCTTACATATTGCATCATCAAACATATGGAAAGAAATGTAATATACATCAATGCAAGAAGCTGTCATAGAAAGTAACAAGTGTCACACTGATCCCAATAATACAAGAGGCTATCAGAGCCGGATCAATATCTGGGTCACTACAACTCTTGTCTTGGGTAGGCTGACAGCTTTCATCAGCTGGTATATCTGTCAATAGGCAGCCATATAGTCCCCTCACATCACAGATAATGCTTCAATCCTCATAATGCTTTTATCTATCAGTCTTTTGGCAAAACAAAATATTTAACATGTACCAGGAACATTCTCCCACTGGCAGTGAACTCTTGTAGGAGTTCTCGGGTTTTAAAATACATTTATTTTTGTTAGGATCTGAAACCTTTGTCATGTCTGGCTGTGTTCAGTAATCTAATTGTATCCATTCAGAGAGACTACCACCTTCAGGTCTGGGAGACGGGAATGTTTAAACGCTACTAACCCAAGGCCAGAGTGACACTTCTTACATCTACAATAATTATAACATAAGCAGATGAGCAGACAAAGATCTGTGGGCAACATACAATTTTGAATACGTTAAATAATAAAATTCATATGAAAAGAAATTGTGTCATAACAATAATAGAATTTGTTCCTGATCTTGATCTGGTACATTAGGACTTTTCTTGCTTCTTCTGGTCATTGTGAACACTGTCATTATTGTGGTCAGATGATGACCAGTGGCGTTTCCGTGGTGGCCGATTATCCACCGGGTGCTGGTCCTGATTTATGTCCCCTACTGTGTCTATAGGAGAATTCTGTGGACTCTTTTCCATGTTTTCTGCTGATGACACATTAAAATACATTTGACCTTGACCTTGAGAACACTTGTTTATTGACCTTGGGGTCTGGAAAGTCAAGGTTGGGGACCTGTTTTGCTGTAGATGCCTATTCTCCTCCTGATGGCGTAGCTGCTGCTGTGATAGCTCGGCACCACGCGCGGCAACCTCCTTGTGTGTGAGGGAGATACAAATATCCCCCACCGATAGTCTATGACATTCCAAGCCGTACCGCTCTAGGGTCTTGTCGGGATCGCATGAGGACCAGCCTTGCCCAAACACAAAGAACGGGTGTTCCACTGTCGCCTCCACAGTCACCTGGCAAAGAAAAAATAAGATTTTTACAAAATCATGAACAAAAACACTGCATTGGACTGCTAAGAAATTTTGCTGCTGGTTCTCAACTGTTTTCAGCAACCTATATATCTACTGGTTCAGAACTATTTTCAACAACCTTAGTATATATCTACTGGTTCAGAACTGTTTTCAGCAACCTATATATCTACTGGTTCAGAACTATTTTCAGCAACTTTTGTATCCACTGGTTCAGAACTATTTTCAGCAACCTTTGTATCCACTGGTTCAGAAAATGTACAAGCAACTCAAATTTTTGTTGGTTTAGGTTTAGTGTAATTTTTGCTTTACTTGGTGTGGTGCAAATATGTTGTGGTCTGCCTGTGTTTTTCTATGACAGATAGAGAAGTATGATGACCCCGCCATTGACCTTTCTACTTTACCCAGGACACCTGTCGTACCTATATCAGTCAAGTTCTATACTGTATGGCCACAACTGAATGCAACATACCTGAATAAATTAAATTAGTCCCAAATTATCACAAACCCATTAGACACCTGTGGGTACTTGACATTACAGTAATCTCTGGCAGCACTTCAGTCACAAACCTGGCCAGTCCCTATCAGCCAGTCAGCTTTGGTAATTAATACAATTCATAATTAAATGCCACTGGTGACCTCATAAATGAAATTGAAATTTTTCCAAGTTAGAAATGAACATGCGTGATAAGATAGGTTATATTAAAGTGTATGTGTGCTGTGATGTGGGGGTATAGATACTTGTACCCTCGACATCAGTCAGTAGTCAGCAGATATACAGTCAATTAGGCAGTAAATGAGAATCCCGGCTACACCATGATACCCCCCCTACTCGTCACATCACTGGTATTCTTTCTATTGGCATGGTAGTAATCAATGATTGATCATTAACCTTAAGTTTTAAACTTTGCTGTGAATAGAGATTGCACATAAATCTTGTTCCTTTAATACCAAACTTTTTAACATAAATTTAATCGTGTAATTAAATAGACAGACACTTTTAACGACAGGGAAACCGATTAACACTCTTTTCTCTGTTTTCAACAAAAAACATACACAATGGGTCTTTTGTAGCTTAAGGATATCTTGGAGACTAAAATTCAAAGTACCTAAATAATTCATAGACTTTAACCTGAAACCTGAAGGATATCTTGGAGACTAAAATTCAAAGTACCTAAATAATTCATAGACTTTAACCTGAAACCTTTTGAAGTCTAGAAAATAAATACGTCCAGACTGAGCCTGTTTGCTTTCATAAATAAATCAAACAAATTACTACAGTGCATATATTTAAGAGCTCATTACCTAATCTTCATCACAGAAAATCAGTTTCAGACATCATTTTCCACACCATTATGTCAACTAATCCAAGTCTGGACAAGGAACCAAAGAATATTTATTGTTTGTGCATATTTGGGGCAATTATTTCGACCAAATTAAGATTTTGGTGATTTTTTGTCGATTCCTAGATGTATTAACTAAAACAGACCTAAACTTATCCTACCTGTAGCTAGATACAATGATGTATATTTAGTGGTAATGCTAAATAGGGTGTGATTCAGCATTACCTGGTACACATATACAGTAATTTAACAAGAACAACCAACATATTTAAATTATGACAGAGTAAACATTACCTGCCCATGTTCAGACCTGTCAAATTTTACTGACACAATTTTCACAAGAACAATTCATTTCCATTTCTAAGTAATATTTTATTATTCTTGTTTTGCACATAAGTATATTCCCCTTTAAATACCTGTAAATATTGTATGTAAATTATCAATTTTTTGACCACAATAAATTATTCTACATAAATGAACTTTAGTGGTATCTATTATAACAGCCCTTTCTCTGCTGACTCATACAATCTGAACTCGGTGATTCATGTTATTGTGAAAACAGCAACAGATGTATCCTCAAATAAAATACCATCTTACGGAAAAATCATCTGCTATTTTTGTCTGGACAGGAGTAAGTAATAATTCAGATCATTTTAAAAATTCAAAAGTAAAGTTGAAATAAAGCTTTTGAATTCTCCAAACTCTATAATATTGGACTGTCAGGATGCCTGTGTTAGAGCGTTTTGTACTTAAATCAGGGGTAAAGAACCTAGTGGTATACAGAAGCTACAAGTTTTATCTAATTGTTTTGTTTGGGCAAAACCATTTATACCTAAAGTCATCTTGTTAAATAGTTTTACTTCTTCTTGCCATTCCTAAAGAAATAGGTACTACAAAGTGAATTTCTGGAAATATTTTCATTCTCCTGAAAAAGAAAACTTTGAAATATGATATTCCCTAATTTGCTTTTATTTAGAGAAAACCACAGAATGGCATTATTTTCCCCCTAAGGAATGTAGAAATGTTGTTTTGATTTCAGTTGCATTCTGCTATAATATCATTTGCACTCAAAAAGTTCAACTTTACTTCCATTTCAAATTTACAAAGAAACCTAGCCATGGGAATGGCAATCCTTGTATGGAGCCATCAGCTGTCTATAACCATAAGAGTTATGTCCCTTGTTTCAAATGTCAAGTTCTTGTTAGAGATGTTATCTCAGTAATAAGTAATAGTACTAGTAATAGTAATAGACAGTGTTTTTGTAACCTGAATTTTACAACAGCCTGTTCTTTTATGAATTGGAAAAATATAGCATTATTTGTATTGAAATCGGGAACATATTCCTCATTTTTTTAAAGTAATTTTGGGAAAATAAGGCACTTTCTTAGCTAGGGGAACCAGCCTGTATTCGGCAGTAAAACTGACCAAAAAAAATCACTGAGACGTCATGTTGATTAGAAATACTCACCTGTACTCGATGTTCGCCCACGACAAAACCCAGGACAACCGTGCTGCGATCACATTTCTCCTCCATGCGCACTACGGTGCTGGAATCTATTTTGAGATCACTGCTGATATCAGCACTTTGTCCAAAGTCATCTGTTTGCAGATCTTCAACACGTTTCAGTTCTCCATTAGCTAGCTGTATAATTGACCCCTTCATGAAATGAGGGGGATAGTGTAGGTTTGAGGACTGGGGGGCGCCTGCGCCGACCTCTACCACACCCTGCTCAACACTTGCCCCACGGGGGTTGACCGGGGGCAATGGGGCTCCGTAGCCTGCCTTTGATCGTTTCGGGGACGGTTGATCTGATGATCTATTGCTGCTATATGAGCCACTTTGTACATCTACGGAGGAACTCTCTATGACGCTGTCCGAGGGCCGAGTCAGTATTCGGTGTTTGCGACTGCCTTCTTTTCCACTAGGCACTTTATAGTCACTCTGATCCTTACTACACAGAGAGTCATGACGGGGAGGTAAGTCCTTAAAAGACACAGACTTGCCCCCGCTGCCGAGTTCGATGGATGAAAGACTGTGTGATCGGTCGTCCTTGTACTGCGTTGAATACTCACGCCCCCCTGAGCGCCCCTCTATGTCCCGTTCTCTAGCTGCTGAATCCCCAGAGTGCTGCCCTGCCGCTGGGGAGTGACGGGGCGCCACCTGGGGGCCATCAGATGTGGACACAGAAAGGGATCTTTGATTGCCCCCGAGGATCGAGTACTGAGGTATCTGACCGGATAGGTACGAGTTGCGAGGTAGCTGGGTTTGAGAGGCGTGTTGGACCTGGCTGCCCATACTCTGTAGGACAGCTGAGTATGACTCTATATGTGGGTACTGGGCAGCCAACATTGACCGATGTGTGTATCCGCCATGAGGTGAAAACTGAGGGTAGAAAGCACTATACGGGGCTTGCAAGTGCGAGCCCTGTGCAGCCACCACAGTGGCTGGATGTGCCCCATGTAAGTTAGAGTAGGACAAGGGTGACGATCCTCCTCCCCCTCCACCCGTGGAGGAGTAAAGAGTAGAGAACTGACTTCCTGTTGACAAATGCCTCTGCGAGGAATCCACAAGAGTTGCAGGTGTGCGGAAAATCCCGGACAAGTTTGCCGGGGAGCCTGCAGATGCTAACATGGTTGATGTGTGAGACGAGGATTCTTGGACCTGGCTAGATGGATGGCCACTCAGCATGCCTTGGTGAGGCTGCCGAGTAGAACCTCCACTTTGGCCGGGACTAGCTGACACATCGGACGTCCAACTGTCAGCCGAAGTCACAGCACTTCCGTTGGTAGATCTACTAGAATTTCTGTTATGTCCATGGCTGTTTGCATTCATTCGTTTGTCCTGTACGGTGTCATCTCCAGGGCATAATACCCCTTCAACGTCATAGGTAATATTGTTGTTCTCCTCTAGGAAGAATTTGTCCACCTTGGCCTGGGACTCGGGTGGCTGGGTGGCAGCACCATTCACGCCTGTGGGGTGTCGGGCTAGAAGTTGACACAGAGTCTTGTGTGATAGGTGGTTCTCTGGCCATCTACTACGGCAGCCATGTTGTTTCAAGCATGGCTCATCTGGAGAAGGTCTTGTGCTGTATGGTACCCCCTCTGTTTGTTCTTGTTCTGTAAACATAAAACAAATGTTAGGAATTGATGACTCAACTTATAAAAGTTTTCCACATTGATTCAGTTATTCACAAATTTTTGACTCAGAGCTGTTATTCATATTGTGATTTGACTCAAATAAATTGTCCACAGATGTGATTTGACTCTAAGTAGTCATATCAAGAGAGCACTATCACCTTGAGCTACTGGGATCACAGCTCCATATTCAGCTCCTTAATTCATTCACCCCTAAATATTTAAACTGGACTTGACCAGTCTGTGATTTGGTTAGGTTCAAATGTGACTTTAGGGGTGAATGGGTTAAAGTAATACTGCCCTCTACTCATATGTATACTCCCACACATTTACATGATACACTATTCACACTTTTTATATACATATTTACCCTTTTCACACTTTTTATATACATATTTAGCCTATTCACACTTTTTATATACATATTTAGCCTATTCACACTTTTTATATATATATTTAGCCATTTCCTTATATATTGATTCGCTATTACATGATTTTTGGTCTATTGTAGTGTTTCATTCAAAGAATTTCTTTACCTGTTGTTTCATTACCATACTACATAAATTTAACTCCAATAGCTCTAGAAGCCATACTATAATTCATTCAATATTATTTCAATCCTTTCCCATTATTTTCCTAATAGGCAGTCGTAGTATGTGTCAGCACTTGATGTTAGCTAGGATACCGTCAGACCTATATGACCTAAAGGAAGGTAAAATAGGACGTTACAAACAGGTGATACTTCTACTAGTATATTGGACTTATTGGTTTAAATATATTGCCGTTTGTTCAAAGATATCAGACCTTTGTAGACAGGAATTTGCCATAAAGATCTGAAATCACTGGCCTTTTGACAGGTATTTGCTACAAAGGGCGAATTTGACAGTTACAATTTTTTCAAAGCACATGAACAACATATTGATATTTTAAATGATTTTTAAAGACTGTAGCTTAAAGGCGAGAACATTTGCCATAAAACAAGTCAACAGTACATGTTGGTATTGATTGTACTGTATAGTATAGCAGTTCATGTACAGCAGCCAGTTAAATGGGTCAACAGCTTTATGAAACCATCAGGCGAATGTACTTCAGCTAGGGGTCACGACAAGAAAAAGCTATTTGGAACTTTATGAAAAGGCAGTTGTAGTATCACAATCCTCTAATTGATTGTGGAGTCCCTCCTCACCAACTAATGGTAGTATTGTGGAGCTGTTAAGTAAACAAGATAGCTCCTGATTATACCGTTACCATCTAAGCAGCCTCACAATGTAACACCATATTAAATTTTGAAACCTGACTTTCAGTGCTGTATACGTTGAGCAATATATATATTTTTTTAATTTTTGAAGATTCTAGACAATTATCAGAGAACTTCTTACCGTTGGTAGGTATTGGTAGCTTAGTTTCGTACCTTAAGGTGTCATACATTGTAATAAAACAAATAATTGATTGGCGTCATTATCTTGTATTATTGCATTGTCAAGTGTTGATTGCATGGCGTCATATCTTGCAGTAATTATAATGAAATGGGTTCCAATCACAACACAGCTCAGGCGTCACCTGTTTGAGTGGGTATTTATTTGGTCTTGCAGTAATATGACAGTGTTAAATAAATGGACTCCTATCTTACAGTATAACAGTGTTAATTGTATGGTGTGACAGCTTGTAGTAGTGTAATGTTACATGTATCATACAAATGTTTTTGTGTGTCAGGGTCATTGTCTATACATTTTAGAATCCTTGCAAAGACGTCATGTAAATACCACCCTTTTATTTGTTCAATTATGTGCACATTGCTTGCTTAAATGTATAAAAGTGATTGTAAGCCTTTGTTTTTTGTTTTCACAATTATAACCATTACTATTTTCCATATGTTGTAAAGCGCTTTAGAGTAATTTTACAAATTATATAGGGCGCTTAGACATGTTGCATATTATTATTATTATTTGGACCAGTTTGTGTTTATCATCGGGCTCTGCACCTTAATTTGTCAAAAGAAGATAACCATATTTCTATCCAGTAAACATTAAATTCTGAGGGTATATACAGAGTTATATTCTATTTTTTAATATAGGTCCTGTTATAAATGAAATTTGTGGCAATGGTGTCTGATTTTTTTAGTCTTTTTATTTTCCGAAAAGTTTCCAATTGTACATATTTTGGTAGAGCACACAAAAAAAATAATCTCAAAAATGTTCTGTTTTTATCCAAAGCTTGCTTTAAATAAAATTCAATGTTTTATACAGATGTAATTCCATCGAGCACATAGTGTCAGGCATAAGATTCCCCCTTACAGATTCACCTTGTTATTTCTGAAAACATGGTTCAACTGTATGATGAAAATACACATTGAGAATGGAGTGTCAATATACTCCTGTCTAACCTTGAGGTTGAAAATATTCAACTGTCTCTAAAGAGTATGGAGGTGAATTTAAGTAAGTTTCACTTTCATATGGTAAACATCCTCATAAAATCCTTTCTTCTAGTAAATTTAGGGAAATAAAATGACTCCATCAGCACTAGACAACCATAGCTGGTGTTGTGATTAGCAGTTTGGAAGGTTTCAAGACAACTCCATAAAAATATATATAGTGTACTGTGTAACTGCAATATTACCCCACAGAGAAATACAGGATAGCACATACCATACAAGGTAACACTAACAGTGATATCACGTACCGTACAGGGTAACACAGGGTACCCTTAACAGTGATATCATGTACCATACAGGGTAACACAGGGTACCCCTAACAGTGATATCACGTACCGTACAGGGTAACACCGGGTACCCCTAACAGTGATATCAACGTACCATACAGGGGAACACAGGGTACCCCTAACAGTGATATCACATACCATAAAGGGTAAAACAGGGTACCCCTAACAGTGATATCACGTCCCATACAGGGTAACACAGGGTACCCCTATCAGTGATATCACGTACCATACAGGGTAACAAAGGGTACCCCTAACATTGATATCATGTACCATACAGGGTAACACTGGGTACCCCTAACAGTGATATCATGTACCGTACAGGGCAACACAAGGTACCCCTAACAGTGATATCACGTACCAACAGGGTAACACAGGGTACCCCTAACAGTGATATCAACGTACCACATTGATATCACATACCATACAGGGTAACACTAACAGTGATATAACAGTGATATCACGTACCGTACAGGGTAACACAGGGGACCCCTAACAGTGATATCACATACCATACAGGGTAACACAGGGAACCCCTAACAGTGATATCATGTACCATACAGGGTAACACTGGGTACCCCTAACAGTGATATCAAGTACCATACAGGGTAACACTGGGTACCCCTAACATTGATATCACGTACCATACAGGGTAACACTAACAGTGATATAACAGTGATATCACGTACCGTACAGGGTAACACAGGGGACCCCTAACAGTGATATCACATACCATACAGGGTAACACTAACAGTGATATAACAGTGATATCACGTACCGTACAGGGTAACACTGGGTACCCCTAACATTGATATCACGTACCATACAGGGTAACACTAACAGTGACATCACGTACTATACAGGGCAACAGTGTACCCCTAACAGTGATATCACGTACCACACAGGGTAACACTAACAGTGATATCACGTAGTATACATGGCAACACAGGGTACCCCTAACAGTGATATCACGTCCCATACAGGGTAACACAGGGTACCCCTATCAGTGATATCACGTACCATACAGGGTAACACTGGGTACCCCTAACAGGGATATCATGTACCATACAGGGTAACACAGGGTACCCCTAACAGTAATATCACGTACCATACAGGGTGACACTAACAGGGATATCACGTACTATACAGGGTAACACTGTACCCCTAAAAGGGCTATCACGTCCCATACAGGGTAACACTAACAGTGATATCGCGTACCATACAGGGTGACACTAACAGTGATATCACTTACTATACAGGGCAACACAGGGTACCCCTCACCGTGATATCACGTACCATACAGGGTAACACAGGGTCCCCCTAACAGGGATATCATGTACCATACAGGATAACACAGGGTACCCCTAACAGTGATATCAAGTCCCATACAGGGTAACACAGGGTACCCCTATCAGTGATATCACGTACCATACAGGGTAACAAAGGGTACCCCTAACATTGATATCATGTACCATACAGGGTAACACTGGGTACCCCTAACAGTGATATCAACGTACCATACAGGGTAACACTAACAGTGATATAACAGTGATATCACGTACCGTACAGGGTAACACCGGGTACCCCTAACAGTGATATCAACGTACCATACAGGGTAACACAGGGGACCCCTAACAGTGATATCACATACCATACAGGGTAACACTAACAGTGATATAACAGTGATATCACGTACCGTACAGGGTAACACAGGGAACCCTTAACAGTGATATCATGTACCATACAGGGTAACACTGGATACCCCTAACAGTGATATCACGTCCCATACAGGGTAACACAGGGTACCCCTATCAGTGATATCACGTACCATACAGGGTAACACTAACAGTGACATCACGTACTATACAGGGCAACACAGTACCCCTAACAGTGATATCACGTACCATAAAGGGTAACAAAGGGTACAACTAACATTGATATCATGTACCATACAGGGTAACACTGGGTACCCCTAACAGTGATATCAACGTACCATACAGGGTAACACAGGGTACCCCTTACAGTGATATCACGTACCATACAGGGTAACACAGGGTACCCCTAACATTGATATCACATACCATACAGGGTTACACTAACAGTGATATCACATACTATACAGGGCAACACAGGGTACCCCTAACAGTGATATCATGTACCGTACAGGGTAACACAGGGTACCCCTAACATTGATATCACATACCATACAGGGTTACACTAACAGTGATATCACATACTATACAGGGCAGCACAGGGTACCCCTAACA